ACGACCTCAAATAACTGATTCTCAAGCAGAAAATCAAAATGCTAATTGCAACGCTTCCTGTAGTTACAACAATAATATTATGAATGATAACGTCTCTTCTCAAGTTAATCATTCTAAAATCTTTACATTTGAAATTCCCGGGATCAAAATTATCGTTATATCTACTTTCCCTTCAATGATTAATTCCTCTCAAACGAATCGTTCTAAAATCTTTACATTTGATATTCCTGGATCCAAAGTTATCATTATCACACTTTCTTTTCAATGATTAATTCCTTTAAATGAACCTTTCTGAAATCTGTAACATTCTCGGGACCTAACAAATTGATTTGATATGTTTAATTGAAACTCATCAAAATTTATTGTACGCATTATATTTATTATAGTTAATTTATTTATTTAGAAATTTCAATAAAAAAATATATATATTAAAAATTATTGTTATATCTTAAAATTTATATAAATTTAAAATTTTTATTGAATTTATATGAATTAGTTGTAAAATTTATATTACATACATATCTTAACTTTAAGTAAATTAATTTGTTTAATACTAATAGGCTTTATGAAGAATTTTTATTAAATCTTTAAGAACTTTATAATAGTTATAATAAATAAACCAGCTTTAATTATATTTATAAATTTAATAAAATATTTAATAACCTATTTAGCTAAGATGACTTTATAAGATGACTTTATTAATTAATGTGTACTAAATAATATTTATAATATTTAAAGTAAAAAGATATTTATATACAATTTATATGTGCATATCACATTGATAGTACATAAAATATATTGTTGAAGATCTCTACTTTTCTTTAAAATGAATTTATTTGGAAACACCTAACTGAATAAAGATATCAAATACATTGTTATTTTACCTTTGGCGCATAGATAGTAGTAAGATGCTTTGTCACATCCTGAAACTTTAAGGTCACGGCCAAACGTGTCTCCCAAGATATGTTCGAAATATGTGCACAATATTTTAACAAAAATACCAGATACAGGTAATAATATATTTTAAATGAAGTTATTTATAGAAATGAATTTTTCTTTTTCAGATATGTAATTTAATTTAATTTGATTTACAGATATAATAATATTTCTTTTGAACCGGAACTTTCTATTTATAGGACGTGAAGATATCAAGCCTTTTATCTCATTTCAGAAAAGTTTTCAATTATTTGATTTACAGATGTAAATATTACAATTGTCATTTATTTAATTTATGGACGTTGATATTAATATCAAGAATTTTTTTTTTTGGTTATGCAAATAATATAAATCGGTTTAATTTACAATATTCCTCACCAGAAGCCTTTTTAACAGGTATGTCATTCATTTAGTTTTAGGGCGTGATAATTTAAAACCAAATTTTACTATATCAAAAAGTGATATATTAATATCAGACGTCCAAAGATTCATATATTGACAAAAAAGGTTATCCAGGTTATACAAAATTTTTGTAAATAAGGAGATGATCAACATATTCTTCATGTTATTTTGAAGAAAATAGAAAATAATATTTTTTTTATATAAAATTTAATATATGTGATATCTAATCTCAATGATGTAATGCGTCAAAAAAAAAAAAAAAAAAAA